AGGGACCAGAAACGACCTCAGAGGGAGGAGGAGGATGGAAGCGAGACCTAAGAATAGCAAGCTACACTGAGATCTAGAAAAAACAAGATGTGGGGGGAACATATTGATTATCCATTTCCCATCCATGCTGCTTGCTGCACCTGTAGTAACAGCCCTGTTTCCCTTGGCCCAGAATAATAGTAGAGTCCAGAAAAGGTACTGTTTCAAATATGGAATATACTGGCTGTACTGGATAGGGGTGGGTGGGTTCTGGGATTCCTAGACCAGAATGGTTTATCTTAGTTCCCTGTACTCTGTGCGGTGTCTTGAAATGCAGAGGCAACCCCCCCCCTCAAGGTACCCTACAGGCTAGAAGGAATTAAGGCCAAGAAGATTCTCCTAAAACAGTTTTCCTCCCTTGCTAAGTTTTATAACGCCTTGCTGGAGGCAAACATCTGTGGTTCCCAAACCATCCGTGCTTTCTGTGTCGATCTGATTGGCCTAATAAATGATCACACACACACACCCCCAGAAGGGGTTTCGGATCCTGTTTTGCATCCAGGATAATGGAGTGGATACAATTCCACACAAAAAGCATTAGATGGCAGCAGTGACATGGAAAGAATACAACCAGTTCCTTGTTCAAGCCCAAAACGTATAGGGATGTGTTTTGTTTCCGGAAGAGCCGTCAAAACCCCCTAGGCAGCATGGCCTAAGGACATTTTTTTTAATTCCAAAGCAATCACTTTTCTTATCTATACCTCCCAAATTTGTTATGTTTCGACTTACAGAGACCCCCATGGATGAGTTACCTCCAAAATGTCCTATCATTAACAGGCCTGCTTCAGCTCTTGCAAAGTCAAATCTGTGCACTAGGACTCAGGAGACCTGGATTCGAAACTGGACGCTGCTTGGCCATGGACACTCATAGGGGCATTGTGGAACTGGTAACACCACTCTGTGACAGCCCTATTGGGGTCACTATGAGTCCGTTTTGAGTTTACGGCACATGATATACAGGTGGAAAGAAAGCAGGAAGCATAAAAGGAAGAAATGCAAAGATCACGCTTGCTTCCATTAATCAAAAACTAAAATGAAGGAAAAGCCCCACCTGATTTTGACTCACACCTGACACTTTGTTCAATTTCTTTTTATTATTATTGCTTTATTGCTCTGTTATTGGAGATTTAATTCAGAGACTGATGTTGTAACAATCAGACAGACAATGTTGTCATCCTATGCAGACCTGCTGATTTATTGCCTTCTGACATATGACATTTAATGCTAAGGACTCTGCCTAGGTAAAGCCAAACACAACCATCATGAATCATCCATCATGCATGCAGTCACATGGCATAGATGTGTAGCTTTGCCCATATCAGTTTGCATGATAAGGGGAGGGAGGGAAGTGGCATCATGATGATGAAGCTTTCCACCTGGTCAGAAATGTCCCCACTATGGTGACTCCCATTGGGCTTCTATTTAAAATATAGACTTTCCCCCCAAATTAACATTTGTATGTGATGGCTAGAAGCCTATCCAGACATCTTACACCAGTAAGGAAAATGATCTTTCTTTCTTTCTTTCTTTCTTTCTTTCTTTCTTTCTTTCTTTCTTTCTTTCTTTCTTTCTTGCTTGCTTGCTTGCTTGCTTGCTTGCTTGCTTGCTTGCTTGCTTGCTTTCTTGCTTTCTTGCTTTCTTGCTTTCTTTCTTGCTTTCTTGCTTGCTTTCTTGCTTTTAGTTCAGAACTGTCAGCCAGAATAATGGTGCACACCAGTTATGCAATTGGGTGGTTGAACACTCTGGATTCCGGCCATGAACCAGCAAATGCAAATTATACCCAGACCGGTGTCTTTTTAAATATATTTGGCAAGGCTGATGTAATTTCTCTCAGGGGAACGATGCATCATTTTCTGTTGCATCTCAGGCAGCAAAATTATCTGGGGTGATCCTTAGTTACGTATATGGCTGTGTGCTGTAAACATGGGTGATACTGTTATATAAATAAATGCATAAAGCACCACAGGGGGAGGATCTGCTGGATGAAACAAAGGTATATCTCTTCACTAGAATTTCCTTTAGATTTTTTTTTCTACACCGAGGCAAACCACCAGCGAAACCAAGAAAAGAATTCTTTCTTAATGACTCTTACTAGAAAAGGATTGCATGAATCAGTTCCCGGAGATTTTGAAAGGGTGGCTGGATTGAGCCATGTTTAACCAAGAGGAAAACATAATGTGGTGCTGCCAGGTAGACAGACACCTCTTTGCTTCCGGCAACAATATTTCCGGAGAAGGCTTTGAGGCGAATGTTTGTGGCTCCACTCTGCAGATCGGACAGGGAAGAAGAAATTGCCAAATGGAGCAGGAATGGCTGGTTTACATTTTGAGAGCGAGTGTGGAAGAGCAGTTAGATTGCTAGACTTGAGCTTGAGAGATGCAGGTTTCTAGTCCCTGTTGATCCATCAAACTCCCTGGAAGGCCCCGGTTTAGCCACATTGCCTCTGCCAGACCTACTTTGCTGGTTGGGGCTTGTTAGTGAAAAGGAAAGCTGGAAATGTGAGCAAGAACTAACTAAGAAGCAACACTGGCCTTTCAAGATTGTTTCCCCAACTTCAGAATAAGGTCTTGATCTCCGGGAATCTAAAGCTGCTGGACTGCCCCAGCGCTAGCAGGTTTTCTTCATTGTGAGCGACAGTCATCCAATTCTCCCCTCGGATTTATTGTCTTCTTTCTCATTCATTTGTTTTATGCTGTATTCCGCCCTGAAACCTGATTGGACATAGGCCAGTGAAAATAACTTTCTCTCCCACAAATAAGTAACTATTGGAGGGCCACAAAGCAGAGGCAAAATAAGAGAGGAATCTGACGCTATTTCAGTTACATGTAATTTCAGTACATGGAGCAATAGCAATAATTGAAATAATAGTGGGCTCTTTTCTTGCTGATCCCCGTCTCCACCCTCTCTCCTGTTTCCTTGTGATACATGGCAAATATCTGAACTTCTCTGGAAATCCCACGCCTGCTTTCTCAGCGCCATTCCTCCAACCCCATAAGATCAGCCACACGAGAGGAATTTTTGAAGCCTAGCTACCGCTCTCGGGAACAGCTCTTCAGAGTACTGAAGCTCTACTATGTTTGGTCACTTCCGTTCTTGTTCACGGACCTGTTGGTTTGGGTTCAAAGGTGCTCTTCAGCCTACCAGAAAACCATCAGTCCTGGAAAGGCTGTTATCGGTGTAATTGATGAGCGTTGCCTGAGAACATCTGACCGTGTTTTTCCATCCCTGTGAGCTGTGTTCCAAGGCCTTTTAAACAGCTCATTAAGGTTGATCTCATGCAGCCTGTATCTGCCCACCTCCCCTGTCTATCTCATTGTATAATGCAACCTTTGCTCATCAATTGCGGTGTGGTGGGTACGGCAATCTTTCTCCACTCTTAGGTCTTGTGTAAGCGAATTCAGGGAACTTTTTCCCCTTCCTTTGAGTCGCCGTTCCCCTTGTGTTAGCGAATTCAGGGAACAGCACCATTGCCTTTTTCCCCTTCCTTTGAGTCGCCGTTCCTGAGCGACTGTTCTTCTAGTGTACGATCAATATAACTATATAGGCAGCTGATCAGCAAGGATAAAAGAGGAGGCTTCACCTGTTGAAAGCCTGCCTATCATGCAAAATGCACTAAGACAGAAAAAGGTGCCACTAGGTTTATAATGCTTTGAATGCTTTGAATGTTTTATTTTGATGTGTTTTAATGCTTTGAGTTTACTGCTTATTGGCATTTTATTATTTCAAATTTTTATTTTAAATTATATTCAGTTGTACTGTATTTATATGTTGTAACCCACCCAGAATGGTCTTGGCTAGATAGGTGATATAAAAATCAATCAGTCAATCAATCAGTCAATCACATTTGAATGGTCTGAGCGTGACAATAATAATTATTATGTGTCTTCAAGTCAATTCTGACTTATAGTGACCCTTTTTCAGGGTTTCCCAGGGAGAGTGTGCTCAGAAGTGCTTTACCCTTCCCTTCCTCTAGGGGGCGCCCTGGGACTGTGCAGCTTGCCCAAGGCCACCCAGGCTGGCTCTACTTGCAGGAGGCACAGAGGGGAATTCGAACTCCCAACCTCTTTCTCCACAGCCAGAGACCTAAACCAATGAGCTGTCCAGCTTGATGATGGGACTGTTTTTGAAGGCTTTGTTTTCCATTTTTGGAACAAAAAAATAGATAACTGGAGATGAGTGAGATTAATGTGTATTTTTTTTAAAAAATAGGAATATTTTAAAAATACTTGCCAAGCTTCAGTGATGCTTAGAGGAGATCTACTGAATTCAATGGGACTTAAGAGAGTAATCTCCCTCATCTCCAGTTATCTGGCAACCCGAGTGTGACTTTGAGATGGGTTGTTATGTATTACATCTCTGACTAGGTGTTTAGCACGACCTGTGTTGGTATTTGTTTGTTCCTTTTAACTATTTGCATACATATTGTTTTAGCATGAATATTGTATTTCAACAACTGCAAGCTGACTCTTTAAACTCATTCTTCTTAGCTTTAAATATTGGCTTCTCATAATGTTGTCAGCTTGGTGGTTTTTAGCTTTAAAAATGGGACCGGCGGGATAAAAAAAAAATTTAAAATCAATGAAACAATTTTAAAAAGTCACTTTGGACCTACAGCAATCCTAGGACTGGATGATTCCCAAAAGGTCCCATTATGAACACCCCAGTTCTGGGCTTTGCAAACGCGAAGCCCTGGCTTCCTTTTGGAATCAAGGCATCTCAATCCTCTTTTCCTGCTGCTGCTGCCGTCAACTTTTGCAAGCGTTACCGTCTCGTCCAAAGTGGGAGGAGCGCGCCGGCTCCCTCTATTAAGGAAGGCTCTCCCGCTCTCAGCGCGCACACGCTCGCCCCCCCTCCCGCCCGGGGAAGTCCCTGGGGGCGGAGCCTCTGGGCGAAAGGGGCGGGGGCAGGAGCGGGCCACGCCTCTTGCCTGGAGGCCAAATGGGCTGCTAAGGGGGGGGCCTCGCCCTTCCAGTTGCCTGCCAGTGGGTCTTGCAGCAGGGCGGTGGAAGGAAGCGGAGCTGGCCGGGTCGGTGGGAGTCATGGAGGACGCGGAGAAAGGCGCCCGACGGAAACAGGAGCCCATCAAGATCGGAGGTGGGTGAAACCCAGAAGCTGGCCCCATTCTTGGGGAGCCGTGGGAAAGAGGGCGGCCAGCTGCTTGCTGGCTTGTTTGTTTGTTTGCTTGGCTCAGTTTTATATCCTCCCTCTCCGTTGAGCCCCGGAACCTGCTTCCCTTCTCGCCCACCGCCAGCTATAGCTAGTCTCTGAGCGCGTCCAGAGTGCCGCCTCCTTGGCTACGCTGCGTCCCATCGGAGCCAGATCCTGGAGAAGGACGTTTGTGGTTTTCAAGAGCAGGAGGTTCAACGCTGCGCCCCTATATATATATATGTGTGTGTATATTCCTTGCAGGGTGGGGTGGGGTGTCGTTCCAGGCTCCTCTGAGCATGCACCGAGTGCGCATTTCTAAGCGTTGAATAAATCGCACGCTACCAGGAACGCGGCCGCCCCCGGTGGTCCTTGTTAATAATAATGTTATTTTTTCGAGTCGGACAGTCCCTGGTTGGCTTCTAAGGGTTAAGAAGATGCGTAGTGAGGGAGTCCATTTGGAAAAAGCTTAGTCTGGTCTAAGAGTGGGGCACAGGCAATAAGAAGGGTGTCCCTGAGAATATGCAGAGTGCCTTATTTCATCGGCAAGCAGTTGCCATCATCTGGCAGAGATATGTACTGTGTTTTCTCTAGTAGAGGTTTTGCTGGAGTCGTTGTATTGGCTTGGTGGAGGAAACTTCTCCCCTTCTTTGTGTGGGGAAGCCCAGGGCGGGCTTATTGGGGGCAGAGGTTCTTCGGAGTTATGTATTTAATGCATTTATATTCCACCTTTGATCTCGGGAGCGTAAGATGCGATACGATCCTTCATTTGTGAACTCAGAGCTGTTCGAGGTCACTCCAAAATCTGGATGGCAAAGTGTGACAGCTGATAAGAGAAAGAAATAATTCATTCAAGATAAGGGAGAAATGGAAAGACCCGTGGAAAAAAGATAAGGATGTGTGAGAGCAAATCAGACCTGAACTCTCTCTAGGTGTGAAAATGGTTAAAGGGAAGCTAGCATGTCTGGAGATACCACTAGAAGACGAGAATGGAAAAAAGACAATAATGCTGGGAAAAGTGGAAGGCAGCAGGAGAAGAGGAAGGCCAAACGTGAGATGGATTCAATAGATACGGGAAGCCATGCTCTTGAGCTTGTAAGAGCTAAGCAGGGATATTAATGATGGGACCTTTCAGAGATGTCTTATTCATAGGGTGAAAATATCAGTCTGTGTTTTTTTTTTCATATACAGCCATCTACATTTATTCAAATACAGTCCTGTCCTTCTTGTGGTTGCTGCACTGTGGTGGAGGGCAGGGTTTCACTTAACTGGGGATTATTTTGGGGGTAGGGCTTAGCCTCTTGAATCAGACTGGCCTCTGCCCCACATTTTGCTTTTCTTTTTAACTTTATGGGGTTTTTTTCCCCCTGCCTTAAGAATTGAGAAACCTAATTGTAGGCCGGGAGTCTCAGATTGCGACCCAGACATGCTGGAATCTCCCATTTGGGACAACGCACTAGGTTTTGGGATACAAATGGGCCTCCGTCCCTTTCCCGCTTCCATGGCATCCAAAATAATTTCCTGGTGATTCCTTAGAGCAAACCCCGTTTACTGCAGCGATATCTTGAGAAAAAGCAGGCCCTCAGACGAGGAATCCTGGGGGCAAATGCAAAACTGAATAGCAGAGCTTGTTTTTGTTTTTAAATTGTATCTAGGGGTTAATTTGTTTGCACAGCTACATTGCTTGTGATCAACAGCAACAACCTCCGTCAGGTTTTGAGCAAACCTCAGGAGGAAAGTTCTGTGGAGGGAGGCTTTGGGTTTAGGTACAAACCGATTTCACTGGAGAAAGTTACTTCTATTTGCATTGCATCTGCTCCTTGAAAGGGGTTTTCGGAGGTCGGACGGAAACAAGGTCTTCTTCCTTTTTTCCATCAAGCAGGACTTGGGGGCAAAGACTGCAGCTGGGCGATGCAGCTTTGGAAAGAGGAAAAGAAACTGATACAAATACCGTACAGGGCTCCGGTAGGGGTGGGGTGGCGTTGTGGCGTTCAACCCAAGAGATGTCTCATCAGGAATAGGCCCCACGGAGTTCAAGGGGGCTTACACGTGCACCCTTAGAATAGTTGAGTCGGGAGGGGCCTCTGAGGCCATCAGGTCCAACCCCAAACATTCGGGGTTGGACACGGGGAGGGGAGGGCAGTAGAAACATGGAAGTTGCAGGACAAGGAAAGCAACCAAGAGGGTGGGGCTTCAGAAAGAGAAGGGGGTCACTCACCCCTTCACTGATGACTGGGAGTCACCAATAAAGGTGGACACAGACTGGTTTGGCTCCATCGGCCACTCACCAGGGCCAGCAGCTTCCACATTTTTCTTGCCCCATCTCAGACATCATCAGAGGTGTGGCTCTGACCCTAATGTCAGGATCATGGCCATGTTCACCCCAACCAAAACCATTCAATGCACAGAAAAGTTGAAGTATGGACTTTCTTTTCCCTGACCGCCTCCAAATATTCCAGGGTTCGGAAATCTCCTGTTTTGGACTGCCAATCTCTGGATTCCCTAGCCATCCTGGTCACACTGGGCATTGTAGCCCATAGGAGGCAAAGAATTCCCAAGCTTTTCCACTCCCTTCCGGGATTTCACAGTGACTGCCCATTTCCCGACTAACTAAAGACTGTGGATTTTGCAACTAAAAACAGGAATGCAAGCCAAACCTTACCCAAGAGGTTGCATAATGTTGTGGAGGAACTGAATTCACAGGAAGGACGCCGGGGCAAAAACAGAGTTTACTGGGTTTTGCATGGGAATCTCTGCTGAACTTCCTGTAAATTGAATTCCTGCATGGTTGTGTGTACAGCATTTGGGGCTTCTGCCTGGCTCTGATTACCACATTGCATCAAGGGTGATCCTATACAAAAGAGGGCAGTGCTTTCAGCTTGAATGGTTGCATAGGGGTAGTGGCACCTTTGCACAACTGTCAAAACAAATACAGCCCAGCTGTTTCCTTGTTGAAGCGTTCTCAGCCGAAAGACATCTGTGCAAGTGGTTTCAGTGTGTAGCCCACGTAGTTATGTTGCAAACCACCTAGGGAGTGGCTTAAGTGCGGTGGGATGGTATATAAGCAGCACAAAGTGTCCTGTTTACCTTCTCCCCCGTAGCACTTAAAACACTCTCAGAGCCATTTAAAGTTTAATTGTGCAGACGACGCACTCGCTGGGTACTCATCTTGCCGACCTCAGAAGGATTGAAGGCTGAGTCACCCTTAAGCGGGCTACCAGAACCTATCCGGATCAAAATTGGGTCGTGAGAAGAGTCTTGACTGCGGTACTGCAGTGTAACCACTCTGCCACAAAGCCCATTTCCATCCTTTCCTGCATCTTGAGGATAGCGAAAAAGTCAGAAGTAACAGATGGGACATGTAAGTTGCAAACAGAGAAAAATGTAAGAAAGGTGGGTGTCTGACCACAATGGAAAGGATTGTTTTGCCAGAAGCAACCTCTCTTGAAACCCCCCTCAAAATACTAGCTTTAGTGCTGGATCAGAAAGGGCCAGCTTGTGCATGGATGAGGGTGAATCGCTTATTCCCTGTACATTGCGCCATTCCCAGGAAATAGCTGGCGTAAATATCGGAAAGGAAAAACGTTCTTCCATCCTTAGTGTGAAGAAATGCCAGAGGAAGGCAAACTGAAGGACGAATTGGCACCGTCCCTCCTTTTTGCATCTGTCTTGCATCCCCTGTGAATGATCTCTTCCCCTCCCCCCACTTGTTTTGCCTGTTCATTAGCTGCAATCATCATGTCTCCAGGCTCGGCGCAGCGCTCTGGACATCCTCCAGGCCTTTGGTTGCCAGGAGAGGCACAGCATGTAAGACCGAGGGGCAGGACCGAGGAAGGGAAGGACTGCTTTAGGCTGGCAGATCGTCCATCTAGCTTTATTCCAATCCAGTCCAAAAGGACTGCTTTAGGCTGGCAGATCCTTTGTCCATCTAGCTTTATTCCAATCCAGTCCAAGCTGCTAGTCCCGTTGAGGTCAGCAAAGCTGCTGGTCTGGCTTAAATTCAAGTCCATGTCAGGCTCATGGGGGTCAGGCTGCAGAATAACACTCTTCTTATTCTCATTGACATTCTGACCAGTTGAAACATCTATTCCGTCAAATCTTATTAGCATGCGAACAGGGCCCTTCCAGATCTTGGCCAGATCTGCCAAGAGTTTGAGCCCTGGGCAGTAAATCTTCTCCAAGCAGCTCTATACAGGAAATCCATTAAAGAGACCTTCGGTCTGCAAAAATGTTCTTTTTCTAGTGTTTTAGACCACGTCGCGCCCGAAATGCTGCTCTTTCTGTGCTTGAAACACCTCATGCATGTTTACAAAGAACTCTTACGGAGGTAACCCCTACTTTTGTAAAGATGTTTGAACCATTCTTACACACACACAAACACACACACACACAGCCTTGTAGAGGTTTTGAGCAGTCTGTAAGAAACAGAAGAACAATGGTGAATCAGACCAGATGACTTAATTCTGGATTCCGTTCCCATTGTGGTGAAACAAGCACACACACACCAGATGCTCACAAGGAAAAGAATTCTATTTGTGTCCCTCTGCAGCTTGTGTACCAAGATTTAACACTGCACAAAACACACACACACAGCCTTGTGGAGGTTTTGAGCAGTCTGTAAGAAACAGAAGAACAATGGTGAATCAGACCAGATGACTTAATTCTGGATTCCGTTCCCATTGTGGTGAAACAAGCACACACACACCAGATGCTCACAAGGAAAAGAATTCTATTTGTGTCCCTCTGCAGCTTGTGTACCAAGATTTAACACTGCACATAGACTGGTGTGCTGCACACTAGTGGTAGACTACGGCGGTCATCAGACCTTATCTTTCATGAATCTGTCTAATCCTCCAAACTGGCAGCCATCCTATCATCTTGTGCCGGGGAGTTCCATAATCCAGAAATCCATTGTTTGAAGAAGGCTTGACTTTGGCCTGCGCTTCATCTCCCATTGTTCAACTCCACTGGATGACCCCTGCGCTTCTGGTACTTTACATGTATTACCAGAACTGGCCACTAGAGGGCGCGAAGCTATGAATATTTGTTAGTGAAGAATTTATAGCGTGGTCTCTGGTGCCCTCTAGTAGCCAGTTCTGGTAACACACGTTAAAATATTTTTCCTGTGTTTTTTTTTACCATACTATATATAATTATCCTCAGTTTTTAGTCTCCACAGGGGGCTTGGAACCAATCCTCAGCAGATATGGGGGTCCTACTGTAAGATAGTTTGTGCTGCATTTCCAAATATACGTGTCTTCTTTTTCTCCCTTTCCTCCAGAGAGCCCTAATACAGGCCTTGGGTTCTGCGGTTGGCTGTTGGTCATCGTTTCATTCCTTCTGGTCCTTGTGACTTTCCCTATCTCCATCTGGCTATGCATAAAGGTAAAAAAAAAGTCCCTTGGGAAATATTGATAGGGTTGGATTCTACAATATTCTTGGTTTGTTATTTCTGGCCTCCTTTTGGAGGAGAGAAACCCTGCTGTTTAGTGCAGTAAATTGCCACTAGAATTAGGCCATTAAATCAGTGGACCTTAAAGAGCAATTAACTTACCAAATCCCCCACTACTTTAGTTGAGGCTTGCTATGCTAAGCAACAAGATTTCAGCTGTTGAGAGCTGGTTATGATGCGGTCATGTTCGTAAGAAGACACTCCCATTCATCTGTACTTAAATGGATAGGGCCGGCTCTGCCGTTAGGTGGCAGAAGCAATTACCTCAAGGGACCAATGCCCTGAGGTGGGGTGGGGAGGGAACAGGAGGGACAGTTCTTGCTGAATCATCATTTTAGGACTGCAGAGCTGGAAGGGACCCTGAAGATCATCCAGTCCAGCCCCTATCAAGGAGGCCCCGTGGGGGGAATAGAACTCCCAACCTCTGGCTTCACAGCCATAGACCTAAACCTCTGAGCTATCTAGCAGTCCTGGCACAGCTGTCCCCTCGGCAGAACATATATACCACACAGTCTGCCGTAGATTCCCTAAGCTAGCTTGTTGCTTCATGTTTGATGGAGAACCCTATACTTGGTTAAGTAATGAATTAAAATTAAAATACTGTATAATTGTCTTTTTAACCAGCTCTTGTTCATAGAATGGGGTGCAGGCTACCATCATTTTTTTCCTGTCTCAGGTAGCAAAATATCTGGGTCAGCCATGCAATCCAGATTGCTTTGAACCTTTGGAAGGAAGCATTCCGCAGACTGGTTTTCTGTACTGCGTCTACATTGCATGGTCTAAAATTAACTCCTTTTAGCATTATCACTTCCTCTATAGTATCTTGTATGTGCTAGATGTGACTGTTAGGGCACAAATAGGTAATTAATGTTCACAATGAGAGAGGGGGAAATACACCTTAGGAAAACGCTCTGTGATTGCCCTCCTCTTTTATTACAGATTGTCAAGGAATATGAACGCGCCATCATCTTTCGGCTGGGGCGCATCCTTAAAGGAGGCGCAAAAGGGCCAGGTAAGTGTATGTGTGTGCATTTGTGTGTGCACATGTATACTGTGGTACAATACATGATGAAAGGCAGCCTCTCAATCATACAATGTTTTTTCTATGTAAAGTTACTGTTTCCTGCTCAGTCTTAAGATACAATTTATATGTGATTTGTTTATTTAAAACATTTTACCCCACCTTTCACCTTGAAAAGGACCCAAGATGGTTTGCATCATTCAAATACCATACTTAATGTTAAAAGCAGTAAATATATATATACTAAAGAGGATTAAACAACTACCATACTAGAAAAATGGTAAATAAAAGCCGCACCAAAACACATTCAAAGCAGTAAGTACAACAATCCATATAAAACCTCCACTTAGGCAGCCCGTCGCTGAGGGAAAGCTTGCCCGAAGAGAAAGGTCTTTGCCTGCTTGCAGAAGGACAACTGAGATGAGGCCAGCCTGGCCTCCAGTGGGAGGGAGTTCCACAGTCTGGGAACAGTGACAGAGGAAGCCCTCTCCTGTGTCTCCATCAGAAGTGGGACAAAGAGGAATACCTCTCCACACCCAGGCAGGCACATAAAGGGAGATACAGTCCTGGAGATAGCTTGGACCCAAGCCATTTAGGGCTTTATAGCTTAAAGAAGGGCAGCTAATGTCAACATTATTTGCTTATGTCTGCAGCCCTTAAAGATTGCGTAGGGTGCCTCAGGACTGGAGCCTCTTACATCACGTGGATGTCGTGATCTAGGTTTTTGTCCCCACTGAGCCATTGAAAATCACTGGGATGTCTTTAGGCCAATCCTCCTCTCCCTCTCTGTTTGACCAATCTTGCAGTCTTGTTGAGTAGAGAAAGCCGGGGCGCCGTTTATATAATACCGATCTCTACCGAAGCAATGCCAGCCCCTTTCCACCACCTGTGTTGCCCCTTCTGTGCTTTCCAGAATAGCTGGAGAAAAACCTTTTCTTCCACATTGCGGGGATCAACTGGTGTTTGTGGCTCACGTCTGCTGACGGAACTGGCCGGTGAAGCTGCTTGGCAACCGTGCAAACGTCTTCCCCCGTGCTTGCCCTTTTCCAGATCCTGAGAGACCTCTCCGTTCCGTTTCCTCTCCATGTCCTGTACTTGCAACCAGATCTAATAGACTTGACATCCGATGGCCTTCCTTGCGCCGGCGAACAGAGCCGGTGAGGTAGTGTGCCGGCTGAATTTTGAATGGTGGCTGCTTTTTTTCCCTGCAGGTCTGTTTTTCGTCCTGCCCTGCACGGACAGTTGTACCAAAGTGGACATGAGGACCATATCATTCGATATCCCACCGCAGGAAGTAAGTGGCCCCTTTCCCCCTTTCGAATGCCAGCTATAAATAGGCTCGGCCGGCCTCTCCTCTCCTTGGCTTCCGTCCTCACATAGCTTTCCAAAATCAGCTTCCCCTCTTTCTCAGATTTCAGGGCCAAGCTGTGGAGTTGGTGTAGAGAGGCAGAGGTGCAAATTTCAGTGCTTCCTGGTCTGGTTTCCCTGCTTCCATCAGCTCAGGGAATATCCTTAGGTCAAAACCACTCTGCAAGAAGGGGGTAGTGACAGCAATTCCAGTGTTAGAACGATGGAGACAAGGCAGATGAACTTCAGAGCGCGTAAAGCTTCTGTATTGGAAAAAAACTTACCCAGAATCCATCGACCAGCATGGTCAGTAACCCTGATGGGGATTCTGGAGATAACCTGCAACAGTAATTCCCACCACCACCACCCCAAGCTCAATTGTTTCTTCAGAAAAAATGTTTTTAAAGGAGCATCAGCACTGGTAGAAGGTTCAGGTGAAAGAGCTATGTTGGTACTTAAAATGTATCAAGCCTCTGGAGAGCATGCCGGACTTCAGGTGCCACTCTGAGAAGGCCCTGACTCTTACTGTTTCCGTTTGATTTCCTGTTATGGTTTGCCATTAAGGACCATTGAGTGCATGTTATTCTGAGGAGCCCATTAGATTCCCAATTTGCAGGTGTCCCAGTTTTTGTCCGGTAAACAAGCCATGAAAAGCAGTAGGTGATGTATCTGCGATGCTGCTGTATGATCTTGGTGGTCCCATGGTGGAAGAGCTCTTAATGTAATTCAGGGTTGCAACATTCCCATTTATATGCCATGGAAACCAAATTGACAGAAGCCATAGCTTGCTGTTACCTTGCTTATATTCCTTAAAATAGAAACTTCCATTGCAGTGGCTCTAATGACATAAAACAGACCTCCTTTGGGGTGTGATTAGAAATAAGATTATAAAATCAGCCCAGCCATTACGCTTTCCAGAAGCTCTTGACTTGGTGCTCCCTCTGTACAGTATTTGGGGAAACAGAGTGAGATCATCTAATTTTTCCATTGTCACACCTGAAAAAGGAGCGATAACATGCATCTGTCCAGTTTCAAAGTGAACACCGAATTCCTTGAAAACTAGTTGCGCTTAATCCCCACCCATACATGACTTAAGTATGTATTTTGTCTTCTTTGTTCTGTGTCACTTCCTGTTAATTTCTGGGTGCAAATCCTCAATATCTCAGCATTCGTTTTATTTCCATAAGTCTGCAGGTTTCAAAAGGTGTCTTGCTTGAGAGATGGGAGAACATTTCATTTCATTTGGTTATTTTTCCTTTTTAAAAGTGTTTTTTTTTTAATGGTGATCGCTTCATAAACTTAACAGTAATCCTGATAATTGAAATTTGAACATGAAAAAAAGAATACATGCAGCTCTTAAAGGTCTGGGGGTTAAATCCCTTTTTATTTAGCCATGTTTGGGATGTTCTGCAGATGTGCCAAAATGTGTGAACAAATTTCTATCAGGAATCAGTTTTGCTGTTCAGCACAGAGCTGTGGAAGGCTGGCAGGCACATAAAACAGAGGCTGTGTTATCGATGAAAGTCCAGATCGTATGGCGAAAGACCGCGGTTTGCTGGAATGAAATTCAGTGTAAAGGGTCCTTAATTCTTAATGAGGAGGAAATCATAACAAAACAGAATCAGCAAAGTTAGCAAATGTTCGTAAAGGCAGTTACATTGTTGCTTTAAAAAGCTGTTATTATATAGAACTGAATCAATCGGCTTGTGACTAGGGCTATGGGAAAGGGTGTCTGCTGCTGGCAAAAGGATTTCTAATTTTTCTGTGTCGCCTCCCTGCTTCTACCCTAGATTCTTACCAAAGATTCGGTAACCGTGAATGTGGACGGCGTGGTTTATTACCGAGTTCAGAATGCCACCCTTGCCGTCGCCAACATCACCAATGCTGACTCGGCCACTCGGCTCTTGGCTCAGACCACCCTGAGGAACGTTTTGGGGACGAAGAACCTCTCGCAGATTCTTTCCGACCGAGAAGAGATTGCACACAGCATGCAGGTACAGTAGGGCTAGGGAAAGTAAGTTGGCAACCTTCGCTTTTTTAAAAACGTGAAGACAGGAGATCTCTAGTTCCCGTGGCCGCGGAGATCGGATTGAAAGGGATCCGGCAATTTCTCATGGAAGAGGTCTGGGTAGAGGAAAAATGGACATGTTGGGGGGTGTGCGTGTGTGTCTATATTCACATCTACGGAGTAGGACTTTCATGGGTTAGATGCATGTGAATGAATGAACCTGACCACCGACAGAGCCAGGCTTAGCTCTTTCTTATTGTCAGAAAATGCAAGTAAAGGTGATCGAGTCCCTACACAACCCTAAAGACTCTTATTTGCTAATTCCAAAAAGCCGTGTTTGTGTCTCCTCTGGATCGTCTGTTTGATCAATATGACTGCTTCCACCACATCTTAATGGCCAATTAAATGCTTAGCTAGCTGGATATCCCAGTGGTTTAGGTCTCTGGCTTCAGAGCTAGGCATTGGGGATTTGATTCCTTCGCCACCCTTTAGAGATCTGACTGCAAAGCCAGAGGCTGGGAATTCAAATCCCAACTAGGTCTCCAGGGCCAACTGCACAGTTCCAAGGGCGCCCCCTAGAGGAAGGTAATGACAAAGCACTTCTGGGTCTTCTCTACCTGGAAAGGGTCACCATCCGTCAGAATTTACTGGATGGCACAGGGTCTTCTCCACCTGGAAAGGGTCGCCATCCGTCAGAATTTACTGGATGGCACAAAATTATTAATTAACCGCCATGTTCTTTTTTTAAAAAAACAGGCCACTCTGGATGATGCCACGGATGACTGGGGTATCAAAGTTGAGCGGGTGGAGATCAAGGATGTGAAGCTCCCTGTCCAGCTCCAGAGGGCCATGGCTGCCGAAGCGGAAGCTACCCGGGAAGCAAGAGCTAAGGTAAGAGATTCTGAGGAATATCCTAGTACTGAACAGGCGGAAGTTATCCAAAGGTCATCTAGTCTGTCCCTGACTCGTTCAGGGAGTCCACTGTTAAGGCATCTGTGACGAATGGCCAACCCATCTTCTGTTCTTCAGAAGCACCCAATGAAGAAGCCCCGTGGTCTGGGGTACTCCTTTCCACCTTCAAAGATCTGTCCTCCTTGGCTGAAATTTCCTCCCTGTTTCTGACCCACTGGGGGGGGGCAGCCTTGCCTGAAACAGGGTGGGGATTGTGCAGCAGAGCCCGTGGCCGGGAAGGCTGGGCGTTGTTGTTGTCCAGGCTTCCGAAGGGCTCTGGGTTGGGGAAGCCTGTCTTCAGCCCTTGCCTCCCTAGAGGCAGTGAGAACGTCCAAGGAAAGTATGCAGGAATTGAATCCACCGTATTTCCAGCTGGCCGGACTTAGGGTACTGGGAAAAGATTTGTGAAGTCTCTGGATGATCAGAGGAGATAAAATGGGGACGGGACAGAGGGTTCTGAAGGTCATCCCCCAGTGAGCTTCTTAAGGCGTCCACCACTTCTTGGATGTCCTCCTGGACCTATGCTTTCTCTCCTTTCCAGGTCATCGCCGCAGAGGGTGAAATGAACGCCTCCCGGGCCTTGAAGGAGGCTTCCATGGTCATCACCGAGTCCCCCGCGGCTCTCCAGCTCCGCTACCTGCAGACCCTGACCACCATCGCGGCGGAGAAGAACTCCACCATCGTCTTCCCGTTGCCCATTGACATGCTGCAAGGCATTGTGGGAATGAGGCACTAACTAAAGGGGAGGATGTTGGTCCAGGGAGAAGCTCTGTTGCAGGAATCCGAGACGTTACAGTGTAGGAGGAAGGAGCAATTATTTCTGTGGCGTTCCCTCATGCGTGTTGTGTTGACCAGTGACTCAGGCCTTTTATCATTCATCTGAGCCCATTTTACTTTCTCTTCTAGCTGGCTTACTGTAAACGCCTTCCTGTCTTTCCCCCACCTCCCAGTTTCCCTCTTTTTAAAAAAAATAGTTTTGAATCGCCATCGCTCTGAAATCCAGAGAGTTCTGAAGACTTTTGCAGGGCCTCCCACAGAACAGGAGGTTGGCTTAGAAAAACAATCTCCTTTCTCTTGGGAAACCGATTCTCAACCGAGAGCCTGTAGTGGAACTTTCCGTGGCTGCGTTGGTGCAGCAGAAAAGAAAAAAAATGGAATGAACACAGTAGTTATGGAGATAATACACTTGTAGCTACACTGTTCGGATTTTTGTTTTTCTTTTTTTACATGTCTGTTTTTCTTGTGTGCAGACTAATACCATGCCTTTTGCAAGCGCTTCGGCCAAAAAAAGAACATCCCTTTGTTTATTTGCCCTTGTATATTTTTAATTCCACAAAGATACTCTTTTTCTTTTAAAAAAATATTTTTTTAAGACTGTCTTTCATTCCCCTCTCCCCCCCCACCCTTGTTTTTAATATGATCCACTGAAAACTGAAAAATTGTCCTGCCAGAAACCCCAGAGGTCCTTCGACTTTTCAGCTCTGCTTCATTCTCTATTTTTTCTTGAAAATTTACAGGCTAGACTTTTTTTGGTAGATCTACATGATGTATACATTTTTTTTTAATTTCAGCTTTTTGCTTAAAGTAGAAAAAGTCATGTTCGGTGCTAAACCCCATTTTTGTCTGTTTGCATAATACTAGGTTTTCTAAGCTTCGTATGGAATGTGAATTGGAAGGGTGGGAAATGTCCAACGTACAATAGAAACATTAGTTGTTATTGTAGCCTTGTGCATTAGTATTACAGTACAATCCAATACATTTCTACTATACAGAAGTAAAACTCTGAATACGATAAAGCAAAGTGTGCTGCTTATATACTGCCCCACAGTGCTTAAGCACTCTCCGAGCAGTGTACAGTTTAAATTATGCAAGTGGGCTTATGGTCACAGCCTTAATAACAGAAAATGCCTGGGAAACAGGGCTTTCAGTGCAGCTGTTAGAAGCAAAGGAGCCTTACAAGAGAGCAATTGGCAGCTCAGATATGGACCTGTGTTTATAGACCTCATGGTCACGCTCAGTCCTAGAACACAGTCCCTTGGCATCTTGATTTTATACAAATTTTAGTCCGACACTAGATTATAGAATTGGGTGGCCTTTTCCCCTTTCTGCAAAGAAACAGCAAAAAGTGCATTTTTTTCTTAAAGTCTCCTGTACCAGAAGTGCTTTAAATATTCTGTGAAACTGTTTATAAATCAAGTGAATTCATAATCTTTACAACATGCATTTGCCTATATGTTATTATTCCTGTAATAAATGTGTGTTTTCTTTAAATCTGCTCTTGCTTTGGATGGTGTTCCCCCCCCCCTCCTGGCCTTTAAAAAAATTATCTTACTCATATTTGCTTCGGCAACCATACTGAACAACTTTATAAGGCCCCCCTCCTGGCCTTTTAAAAAATTATCTTATTCATATTTGCTTTGGCAACCATACTGAACAACTTTATAAGGCCTGGCACGGCCGAATGAAGCTCTCCCAACCCCGGGGGGGAAGCTGGTAGAAAAGCATGAGTCTCTTCTGTTTTCTGCTGGTTGGCCGAGAAGATTTCTCTCCTCAACTCTTTCTCATCATCTCCCTCTTCCCCCCCCCCCAAGCAACGGGGAGGTGTGTTGATTTAAGGAGTACAGTATATGGGAATTCACAAGCTAAAGCCTTCATTATGAATGCTGACTGGCTTTGAATGCCTAGTCTTTTGTCCAGGGATTGTGAGAAAATTAGGGTGGCTGGCAGGGCCTCTGTTTGTGCAGATGCCAATGGCTTGGTCTTAAGCCAACCGTGCAAGAACTGCACGGTAGCTTGGAAACATTTTTGGAAAATATATCTCATTAAATAGTGCTGTTAAGGTCCTATGTGAGGAGTTTGACTCTCATACTGGGGGTCCCTTGCCGTTCGATTGCTGCTTTCTTTTTCACCCCACCTCTGACTACGTCAAAGGTACGTTACAAGTCTGGATTAAATGATTTCTATGATGGGTTAAAAATGACGGGTACTGTCTCACTGTAGTTTACAAATGTATTTATAAAGAAATTAACCATCATCTCTATAGAGAAACACACTCCATGGCACTTAACATTACAGGATGAATTAACATTTTCATGAGTCAATAACCAGTCAGAAAAGGAGACCTAAGGCAGGAAGGAGCTATTTAAATGTGGTTCTTCTATACCAAGTCATAGATCACTCTGTTTTCTTCAGCCCTCTGATCGTGGCTCATTGCTCACCTGTTCCCACCTGAGAATAATATTACCATGCTCATATCTGGTACCCTTTTTGAACTTCAGCTGTAAATAACATCCTTTGCTGAGTGAAAGATGGGATTGGTGAGCGATCAAACATAACTCAAAAGAGAGATCCTTCAAAATCCACCCAGATGCTTCATTGTTAAAAACACTTGCTGAAATATCCCATATTCCTTCTACCGTTTTCCCAGCATAAGTGGATAGATTCTCGTGGAATATTCCATTACTTTTCCATTCTTACCTTGCTGTGCCCCCCCATTGAAAACACAGCAAACCTCACCTGGGGGATTTCACATACTGTATCTGGATTTTACACATGTAGAGCCACACTATATCAAAGGTTCTGGGGTCTAAGAACTACATAAACAACAGATCAGACAAACATATTTTTCCAGGGCTACTGGAACACAAAAAGTTATCTAAAACGTCACTATCCTCCAAGGATACATAGCTTGAGGATGATTTGAAACACTATCCCACACCTGGTGAGTCCCAGATTTCATGTTAGGTTGCCTTCAACAACAACAATAGTTTACAGTTCACTATCAGTAGCTCCTGTGAGTATGTAATAGCGCATCAGCTTCTCAATAAACTGTGTTTTAATGGCTCACCTACCTCTACTGCTTTTGTGGTGGCAAGATGGCTGGGTTAGATCTGGAAGAGCCATGTTGGAGCAGAACTGATCTGGCTTCATTCCCCCGAAGGAAAGGTCACCTCTGGTTGTTCTGTCAAATACGTTTTTAAAAGATGCAGTGTTTCATCTCCTCAGTCCACTGGTTTTTCCTAAGAAAGAAATGTCATAAAGAAAGAAGAATTCTAAGGTGAATGTCTTATTAGGCAAACAGAACAATCATTTGCCTTTTAACCATAATGTCAGCTTGTCATAAAGAAAGAAGAATTCTAAGGTGAACGTCTTATTAGGCAAACAGATCATTTGCCTTTTAACCATAATGTCAGCTAGTTAGCCATTAGCCACAACCCTATTGGTTTGAGTAAATTCCTGTGGCTAATTGTGGCTAATTAGCAAAGGTGGCCAGATCCTTGTCAATCACATGCCTGGTCAAATGCCCAACTGAGATGGTCCGTAGCACCTCGTCGCCCACAATTAGCCATGGCTACTTATGCAAACTGGACACAAACACCAGTAAGATTCTAGCCATTATTTTTGTTTTATTTTAGTGCCTTTTTTTGTGTTTTCTCTCCAGAAATGTAAGGGTCCATTTTTCTGGTTTAGGCAAACCGATTTCCTGAGGCAGACCGATCGAACTTTTAAGATCCTTTTCTCTTCCGAATACTTTCATTTACTCCAGTTGTACCCTCGCCAGCTACTTTTAAACATGTTCCTTTCCATACAGTTACACTGCATTTTGTAATCTTAAATTTTGTAATCTTTTTTTTCCTGTGGCCTTCTCTTTTACAAAACCCACAAGAGTGCTGGATTCTTACAATTCCTCTCCAAATGGAGAGTAGCCGGTTCCTATAAAATACCCATGGATACTTTATACTCAGTGGTGCATCTGGATAGCATCATTTTGTAGTAGTAAAGCCATGTTAGCAAGCAGAGCTTAAAGCTGCTAAATATGGGAACAGTAAGCGAAGTGAGCTGGCGAGCTGGTGGAGGAAACAAAACACTGAGGAAGTGTGGAGTGAGCATGCAAAAATATTTATTGGTGGCATTTCTAAGAACTACTGATTCTCAGGATCCCTCTTTCTTGCTTCAAAATGTGTACTTAGCAGCTCCCTTTCCTAGGAAATGAAATGGGTTTCCCTCTTGGGATTCAAACGCATTTACATTTTTAAAATGATGACATTTACATTCCATCCTTGTGTGATAACGGGTCTCCTGCCAGCTTGCAATTAAAACAAACAGAAGGGGGGGAAAAGCAATTAAAAAAACATTTACAGTAACAGGAACCGAGAGCTGAATCATGACATGACAAGCAACAAGCACAGTCCTAAAAGGATACCATGAAAGCAAACAAATAGATCTGCCAGAACGAGATTCTCACCAGAGGGTCTCCGTGGGAAACAACAAGAATCCACTTGTCTAACACATTTAAAGTCATTCAGTTGTTGCAGCAAGGGAAATAAATCATTTTTCCTTTTTTTTAAATGCAAAACGCCAGAAGATAGGAGCAGGCCCACATTTGTGGTGAACAACCGGAAACAACACTATTTGATGGCCTTTCATACAGGTGAGCTAAGCGTGGAAGTTCAAGCTACACCTTTCTTACCTATAACCCTCAAACATCTGCACCAGAGACACTGTGTCCCTGCAGATGTTACTCCAATTCCCATTAGCTCAGCCAGTGTGGGCAATGGTTAGGGTTAATGGGTGTCAACTCTGATTGCCTACCTCAGATGTAACCAATCCCAAATAAATCCTAGCATTTTCCTGCTTCTTTTCCTACACCTGGCTGTTATGGTTGTCTTTTGCTAAAATCCAGGTAACACAGAATATGGACCATGCCCTTTTCTGAACCTTCTTTTCCCTGGATTTCCGAGCGAAAATATAAATGAGGAATTGGCGAGAAACCGAGCCCCCGAAACCCATCCTAGAAACCAAGGGAGTTTTGAAATCTACCCACTTCTGTCTGCCACCTGGCACACTTCTGCTTTTCTGCAACGGTGCAGGGGAAAATCATCAAAAGTGATCGTCAGGAGACTGGCTTATGACACTCCACAGGATGCATTTCGTACCACTCATTTTCCTAAAACATCATCCTGTGATGCCACCTTGTGGGGAACCGCAGTAAGAATATTGAGTACAGCATAGCTGGACTGCGCCAAAGAGCCGTTCCAGTCCAGCATCCTGCTTCTCGAGGTGGCCAAACAGGTGCGTCTGGAAGAAACAACACCTGCATACACCTGAAGCAGTAATACCTGAGCCAGACGGTCAAATAGTGTTTCTCCTCTTCTGCAAATCTTGCCAGCTACTTTCTTTGGATACCTGCTGCAAGAAATAAAATAAAATCCAAATTTAAAATTTCAAAATGCAAAATAGAAACTACACGAGCCTATCTCCCCCCCTCCATTTTCCTGGCAGATAAAAAATGACACTAATAAACAAACTGGTGTTTCCCATTAGCTGTCATGTTGTTTGCTTGTTTTTGATAACTGGAGAAGGAAGGGGGCCTTTTCACACATGCTCTCCATGGGTCAGTGAATGAAATAATTGTACTGATCAGAGACTTGGGTTCAAGCCTGCAGTGAATCCTGACATTCAAGAAATGATGTTGAGCCACTGGCTTTCTTGTTTTTCAACCTGGCCTACCTCATAGGGATGTTGTGAGAGTTGAAGGGGGTGAGAGAAGGGAGGCATGTTTGCCACCTTGAGGTGACTGGTGAAAAAACAGACTATTTTTATTTTATTTTAATTTTTTTAAGTGTTTTTAAACAATTGTAACTACTGGTTTTAATCCTGTTGCATTGAACTGTTTTCGAGTATTACCATTTACTATGGTTCCAGTCAGATTTTTTCCCCTTCATAATTTTTTTTTTTTGGTTAATGCTACAAATTATTGTGGTTTTCGTTGGTTTGTTCTTATAAGACACGAGCCAACTCGGGTCCCTTTTAGGAGAAAGGCAGGATAAATAAAATTGGGAGGAAAAAACACAACAGCCCAAAACACATAAATATGAAAACGACGAAAATGTCATTCTCGATGGCCTTATCTTAGCCCCCTTCCAACTCTATGATTCTAGGACTAAAATAAGACAAAACAAATCAGAGTTGGGTTATACCTTCTTTGGACTATTAAAACATCGTTCAAAAGGCAAGCGCTGAGGTAAAAAAAAACCAGCAGCCCAATTGCTAATAATTGTTTTGAGGTTTTTCTACACATTTGCAAAAAATAAAACAAGGCGGGAAAAAACGAAAAGCCCTCCTAGGACCCCTTTGGACAATTAACTTCCAATTTTATTTTATTTTTTCTGCAAGATGGCATTTTGTGTTTCTGGAACAGGCATAGCACCAGATGTGAACTAAGGACAGACACCCCCCTAAATTTTGGGGGGCACACTGGTCCCCCAATTGCCACGCACGACGACGACAGCCATGATTTGCCTCATTCAGATTCAAAATGGCGCCAGGCTCCTCGGTTCTGAGGGAATTAAGCCTGACCAATGGCTTTGGTGGAATGGCTTTTTTTGGCGGCTCCTTCAGGGCCGGCTCTACCCTTAGTCCAAGAATATATATATATATTTACATTTAAGATGTAAATATATATAAACTCAAAGCCCAGGGGGTCTCTTGTGGCATGAAAACCTCGGCCTCGGGTCAAACTCTCCTGTCAGCCCTGTGGCCCGCCTCACAGGGCTGGTGTGAGGAAGAAGTAGGGGCAGACCTGAGAGAGAAAAATGAGAACAAAATAAATCAAGGAAGATTTTTTTTGTCCTTCAAAATCTGTGGATCTGATTTAGAAAAGAGAGGGGGGAAAAACCTTGGAGCCTTGGACAAAATACTTGTTGTGGGGGGTGGCAGAAGCCCATGGAGTTCAGGGGAGGTTTTACTTTGGGAGACCTTTGGGTAGAGCGGGCGGCATATAAGTTAAATAAATAAAAAATAAAAATACTCCTGAGGAGAAAAAAAAATGAACATGCACCATAATGGTGAGGTTTAGAGCCCAGTCCTCTACTGGCAAGAAGTCCTGCACACAAATTGCTCGGGGAGCAAAACGACGACACCCCCCCCCAAAAAAAACACACAAAACGGAGTTGCACCTGAGGAGACCCGACCAAAGTGCACCTTTGAAGCGGCAATTCTGCTCCTCCCTCCCTCCCCCTTCATTGGGAATGCACTTCCGCTTGCCTTTAAGCCGCAACATGGGACCACCCCACCCACCCCGTTACTCGAGAGGAGGCCCCCTTTGCCCCCCCTCCGTGAATTGCCCCCCCCCCCGGCTGGAGATGCAAAGGATGTTTTCGTTTTTTTGTCCTTGTGTTTTGCAGACGTGGGGTGGTGGTTTGTTTGTTTGATTGTTTGGACCACAACGCCCAGAATCCCCTACGACCCCCTCTGGGAGTTGCAGGGCAAGGACCACAACATTGCACGCCTGTGTTTTTTTTTTTAATAAATAAAGAACAAAAAGAAAAGCAATGTCTGTTGCAACCGAAAAGAAAGCCGAATCGGTGCCCGGGCAAAGGGGGGGGCACCAAAGCGGGGAGTGGGGCTCGTGCGCTGGAGCAACCGCCGCCTCCTCCTAAGCCGAGGCTGCGGGTGGATCGGGCCCCATAAAGTCCAGCGGCTGGTGGATCGGGCTCCAGAGCTCCGTCCTCCGCCAAACTGGGCAGGTCAACCGTAGGCATCATGCAGGATGCAGAGAAGGGGCTTCGAGGAACCAGAGCCAGGATAGATGGTGAGGGGGGGGGAAACGAAATTTGCAAGGATGACCCCCTCCCATCCATGGGGCGAGCTTGATATATATAGATATTTCAATATTTTTGATGGATGGATGGATGGATGGATGGATGGATGGATGGATGGATGGATGGATGGATGGATAGATGGATAGATAGATAGATAGATAGATAGATAGATAGATAGATAGATAGATAGATAGATAGATAGATAGATATCACTGGGGATGATGGGGTTCGTAAGCCACTGCATCTACAAGAGGAGCAGAATTTCCCCAAAGTTATATAACTTTATGAATGAAACCGATTCGATGCAACTTTATAAAACTAACTGTGTGCCTCCTCTAGATGCAATGGCTTACAAATCCCATCAGCCCCAGTGGAATGGGATGGTGGGATGGGTAGTCCAAAGCATTGAGGGGGGCTGAAAATGAGGTGCTTTTTTTTTTACCCCTGTGGTTAAAAAGGGGCATAAGCAGAAATGACCCCAAACCGCTTGCAGCTGCCATTAAGTGGAAGGTTTTCAATTTTTTTTAAAAAAAAAAAGTTTGTGCATGATTCTTTAAGATGTAGATAATGATGTAAAGATGTATTACTTATTTAAGATTTAATATTGGGATTCCCCAGTGTGGTGTAGTGGATAAAGTGACGGGCTAGGACTCTGGAGCCCTGGGTTTGAATCCCCGCTCAGCTATGGAGGCTAATCTCACAGACAGAAGCAAGCTTTCAGATCCAACAGGACCCTTCATCAGGCTGGACATCCACAAACCTGTTGCTGTTATTTTGATGGCCTTATTTTGCTTTCCAGCTGTGTACAAAGTCCACATGGCTTTGTACACAACTGGAAAGCAAAATAAGGCCACCAAAATAACATAATTTTTGATTTCGAAAGCCGAAGAAAAAAAATAAAAAGCCGTTGAAGAAATATGACTGTCTTATCTTCCAAACAGATATTCTGCCCACTTTTTCCCCCTATCCAGGAAGCTCTGAGGAACCCCTCGGATTGTTTGAATGGATCCTCGTTGGCTTAATCATGGCTGCGGTCGTTGTAACTTTTCCTTTATCCATATGGCTGTGCATACAGGTAAAATAAAATATTTACTGGGATTTTTTTAATGCTGCATTATTGCTGTTCTTATTCACCTTCCCTCTCCCTCCCTCTCATTTTTATTGAAAACTGCACAGAGTATTCTGTCATTAAGTGACTGAAAGTTAATATGATGCAGTGAATCAAGCGATGGATAAGAACTCTGGAAATCAATGTTTGAATTTCTGCCATGAAAACTCACTTGGGTGGGGTGGTGGTAATGATAAATCTCTCACATACCTTCAGAATCTTATTAGGGTTGCCATAAGTCAAACACACCTTGATGGCTAATAATAAATGGAAAAACGACTCACAGATACAGTTAGCCTGTAAAATAAAATTTTAGTGTGTGATTCACTCCATCCCCAGAAGGAGATTAGTGACATTTCTGGCGTAAACTACATTTCTGTGCAGTTGAAATGTGTGCAATCGAAGGCAAAAGCACCACTAAATAAAGGCTTGAACGAAATGTTAATTTCCAACCCCTCTTCTTCCCAGGTTGTCATGGAATACGAGCGAGCGGTCATCTTTCGACTGGGGCATCTCCGAAAAGGAACCGCAAGAGGGCCAGGTGGATATTTTAAGTTATGGCTCAACTGGCCAGGACTCTGATGATTCTTGTTTTTTCAAAACAAGCCCTTTTGGTGCATGTCCTTTTTTACAAAAGCTCAGCTCTTTTTCCTCTTGCTGCTAAACGCACAATAAAGATGACACAACGCACTTCCCAAAACAAGCCCTTTTGGTGCACGACCCATGCCCTTTTCTCAGAGGCAGACACCTCGGCTTGTCTGTCACCATCTCGTGTTTACTAAGTTTCTTCTGCTTTTTTTCTGGCTAGAAATAAAAAAATCTGCCATAAAAGGAGAGAAAATCCAAAACAAGCCCTTTTGGTGCATGTCCTTTTTCCCAAAGGCAGACACCTCGACTTGTCACCATCTCATGTTTACTAAGTTTCTTCTGCTTTTTGTTCTGGCTAGAAATAAAAAAAATCTGCCATAAAAGGAGAGAAAATCTAGAATAGCTGTATGTTGCCTTCTAAGTCAAAGTCTTCTGTCTGGATAGAAGCAAGCCCTGCTCAGTTCCACGGACTTCCATTCATTCATTCATTCATTCATTCATTCTTTTCTCAGAGGCAGACACCTCGGCTTGTCTGTCACCATCTCGTGTTTACTAAGTTTCTTCTGCTTTTTTTCTGGCTAGAAATAAAAAAATCTGCCATAAAAGGAGAGAAAATCTAGAATAGCTGTATGTTGCCTTCTAAGTCAAAGTCTTCTGTCTGGATAAAAGCAAGCCCTGCTCAGTTCCACGGACTTTCATTCATTCATTCATTCATTCATTCATTCATTCATTCATTCATTCATTCCTGATGCTTTTATCCTACCCATCAGTACAATATCATATAAACCCTAACCCCCCCCACCAACATAATAAATAGACAATATATCCCAAATGCACATAACAAACAAAGTAAAAAGACTGTTTTGTTTTATATTCTTAATAGTCGATTAAAAGTATCGCCTATTTCTGGATTCGTCTTGTTTTCCACGAACATGCAACTGATTTTTGCTGAATAAATATGTTTTTATTGAATAAGTCAACAGACCGTTTCAATGAATTTTATTTATTTATTCATTTATTTTGCTGAATAGAACCAAATGGTAACAAGAGCCTTCAGGTGGCACGGGGCGAAAGGGACACTAACAGAGGGGGAGAATATCCTTCACAGCTTCTCTGGATAGTAGAGATTTTAGCCCCCTTTTAAAACTCTGGAGGGAGGAGGCCTGCTGGATCTCTAGAGGAAGCCCATTCCAGAGCGCTGGGGCCACCACCAAGAAGGCCCTGCATTCTAATGGAGGCCTTCGTTGCCTCCTGTGATGTGGCCCCCCGTGACAGCGAAGCCAAGGAAGATGAAGTGGAAGGGGCAGCACTTCTGTAGGAGAGATGCTCCGACAGGTAGCGGGTCCTACACTATTAAGAGCTTTAAACACCTTGAAACTGCCATTTTGGGGATTTCTCAAAACACGGGCATTAAAATGTTTCTTTGTCTTTAGGCTGCTGAAGATCCCATCTTCCAGCCCATAATGTCCCCATGGATCATCCTTTTTCTGTCTTCTTTCTCCTCTCTCACACACACAAACACATAAAAGTGGATGTTTCAGGATGGCTGTATTTCATGCTTCTATTCTGTTTCCCCGCAGGTATATATTTCGTCTTGCCTTTCATAGACCACATTATCATTGTGGATATGAGGACCATCTCTTTCGATATCCCGCCGCAAGAAGTAGGTAACTCCTGACCTCTTTGCTCCTCTGCGAAAACCACATATAAAAGAGACTTGTGTCGCTAAGTAAAGCTTAAACGCTGCAGAACCTTTGGCGCCCAACTCCCACCCCTCATGGGTGTGATTCTGCGTTAATTTCCTAGGGTCTACAGAAGCACCCATGTTTTGGATCTGTGGGCCTTGAAGGTAGTGGGGTCTGTTGAAGGCTGACAGACAGAGCAGAGCATCCTTATAAGAGTGCAGGCAGGAGGAAAAGCATGGATTTTTCTCCCCACAAAATCTTGTCTTCCTCAAAAAGGCTTAGCTCGGTACAGCTAACCAAAGCTGCTTCCATGACAAACCGAGCGATAATTTGAGAAATTAGGAAAAGCGCAGAAGGAAAGCGAGAGACGTTTCTGCTTGAAAATTAAATGCTCAATGGATGTTCAGTTTAATAACAGAGAGCTTGTCTGTCTGCAGCTTGTGCTGAGTAGATATATTTTGATTCAAGACATTTTTAAAAAAATTCTGTTCTTATTTTACTTGTAATCCCTCCTGGTTGTAGATTCTTACCAAAGATTCCGTCACGGTTTACGTGGATGGCGTGGTTTATTACCGAGTAAAGAACGCCACCCTTTCCGTGGCAAACGTGGTCTACGCAGATCCGGCGACGCGGCTCTTGGCGCAGACGACCCTGAGGAACGTCCTGGGGACCAAAAACCTGTGTCAGCTTCTCTCCGACCGAGAAGAAATTGCGCGCAGCATGCAGGTACGGCTAAGCAATTTCAAAAAGCTTGCGTCTCCGTGGAGTTTTCGAAATCGTAACAGATCGAGTGGCTTTCCGAAGCAGAGAAATTGAAAATCTGCCCTTTGGATATGGCTAATCTCAGTGTTTTGGGATAGCAAAAGATCATGTGAAATACTCTGCCTATTGCTTAGCAAGCCACTTCATTCATTCATTCATTCATTCATTCATTCATTCATTCATTCATTCATTCATTCATTCATTCATTCATTCATTCATCTATCTATCTATCTATCTATCCTTCCTCATATCCAGAGATCTCAGGTTTTTTTGTGCCATTCAAGTCGCCCCGACTTGAGGCAACCCTATGAATAAATGAATCTCCAAAATGTCCCGTCCGGGTTGAGAGGCACCCAATCAAACAACTTTAAACCCACTTTTGAACCGTGTAAATATGAGTAAGCCAGCGGTGGCCCTCTCTCTTTCGTCCAATAAAAGTTCGATAGCTTCCTTTCCTCCAAGTCTTTAAGACATGGCTGAACTTTTCAAAGTGGCTTCCGCTAATGTTGACCTGCGATTTTAAGCTGTTGAAATGCTTATTTTATTTAGAATTGGGCTTTGCTTCTGGCAAAGTATTTGTTGATCAAAATGGTACATTTCTTTTGCTTTAGCTTTTATTTGATTGAAGTTACTGTTGCCTAGAGAGTGCTATGCACAAGGGGGGCAGTATAAATAAATACACCATATATTGCACAGAAGCAGTCTTAAATAACTAATTTATTCACTCCATTGAAACCTGTCTTAGCTTCCTTGCTCCTTTGTAATCCTTGGTAATGGCACCTGATGGACGGATTGCATTCTTGATCTACCTTTTTTAACAGACCACGCTGGACGAAACCACGGAAGAGTGGGGCATACAGGTGGAACGGGTGGAGATCAAGGATGTGAAGCTCCCTGTCCAGCTCCAGAGGGCCATGGCTGCCGAAGCCGAAGCCGCCCGGGAAGCGAGGGCCAAGGTAGGAAATTCCACCTGTTTAATTAGATTCCCATCCGACCAGGAAGATCATCCTCTCAAGCAAATTTCACCGAACGGTGGCCTCCACGTCCCATCAGATTCAAATAGCACGGCATGGTGGGCATCAGTTAGAAAAGGAGCAAAGACCAGTGTCACAGCATCAAGGAGCCGTTGTAGTATCCTTGTGGCACAGTGGTTAAACTGCAGTACTGCAGCCAAACCTCTGCTCACCAGGTTCAATCCCAGGTAGCCAGCTCAAGGTTCACTCAGCCTTCTATCCTTCCAAGGTCGGTAAACTGAGTACCCAGCTTGTTGGGGGGGGATGTGTGTTGTTGTTTAGTCATTAAGTTGTGTCCGACTCTTCATGACCCCACGGACCAGAGCACGCCAGGCCATCCTGTCTTCCACCGCTTCCTGGAGTTGGGTCAAAGTCAGGTTGGTCGCTTCGATGACACTGTCCAACTATCTCGTCCTCTGTCGTCCCCTTCTCCTCTTGCCTTCACGTTTTCCCAACATCAGGGGCTTTTCCAGGGAATCTTCTCTTCTCATGAGATGGCCAAAGGATTGGAGCCTCAGCTTCAGGATCTGTCCTTCCGATGAGCACTCAGGGTTGATTTCCTTCAGAATGGATAGATTTGTTCTCCTTGCAGTCCAGGGGACTCTCAAGAGCCTCCTCCAGCACCACAATTCAAAGCCATCAATTCTTCAGTGGTCAGCCTTCCTTATGGTCCAGCTCTCACTTCCATACTCTGTGGACTTTTGTCGGCCAGGTGGTGTATCTGCTTTTTAATCTCTCCCCCTACCTGGGAGTCAAACAACGGTCCCAACGAAGCCAAGAACCAATGGGTGCTCTTTCATGCGATACCAAATGGGTCACTCACTCTGACTCATGGTAAGGCCACTGGATGATGAGTACTGGCCGGACTTGTGCTTTCTCTCCTTTCCAGGTCATCGCCGCAGAGGGTGAAATGAACGCCTCCCGGGCCTTGAAGGAAGCCGCCATGGTCATCGCCGAGTCCCCCGCGGCCCTCCAGCTCCGCTACCTGCAGACCCTGACGACCATCGCGGCGGAGAAGAACTCCACCATCGTCTTCCCGCTCCCTCTGGACATCCTCCGCTCTGTCCTGGGCGTGAAGGGCTGACGGAAGCCATCAAAGCCGACCGAAGGGCTCCTCCCAGAGCTTTAAAATGCGAGGAAGATTGTATAGGGCAAAGAAAGACTTAAGTCATTCATTAATGGTTTATCACAGAGGTTTTTCTTCCTTGCCTGCTTTCCCTCGATCCTTTTTATACACAGCCGTTTCGTTCATACCCTCCCCACTTAATATCAATAAAATGTATTTCTTGTTGTGATGTGCCTTCAAGCTGCTTCTGACTCATTAACGGAGCCGTCTCCCAAATATCCCACCTCTACTGCCCTCAAACTTGTGGCTTCATTTAAGGAGTAGGTCCATCGCACATCCGGCCTTCCTCTTTTCCTGCTGCCTTCCACCTTTCCCAGCCCGGTGGTCTTCTCCAGGGAATCCTGCCTTCTCGGGATGTGCCTGACGCTCTAATAAAATCTGCAATGACCCTCTTTCTTCCTCTCCCCCTCCTTCCCTTCCTGATTCTCCTGATGCTCTCTCTCTCTCTCTTAAGACATGTAAGATATTAGACAATGCACCCGCTGAACCAATGGTGGTAAACGCAAGGATGAGATCCTGCTCTATTACAAGCAAGACGCAGTCACAACCTTCTCCTCTCAGCTGACATTTATGATCATTCCCTCCAAATACCGTGTTTCCCCGAAAGTACGACAGGGTCTTATATTAATTTTTGCTCCAAAAAACGCATTAGGGCTTATTTTCAGGGGAAGGGAAGTTTTTTTCATGTACAACCATAATTGATTTAAGACATATAAGATATTAGACAACGCAGACACTGGGAAACGCAAGGCTGAGATCCTGCTCTATTACAGAGGACATTCCTCTTACTTCTCAGTGTGTGGTATCCTTTTTCTTGATTGAATGACAAAGACCCACAGAGAGGGACCTGGAGGGTTCCAGGAGTTGTCTACCCATATTTATGACCCGGACAAGCAAGACATAAATAGGCTACTCAGTCACAGCCTTCTCCTCTCAGCTGGCATTTAGGATCATTCCCTCCAAATACCGTATTTCCCTGAAAATAAGACAGGGTCTTATATTAATTTTTATTCCAAAAAATGCATTAGGGCTGCACAAGGGTGAAAGGGGGGTTTCACTTAACTGGGACTTATTTGGGGGGTTTATATGACGAGCATCCTGAAAAATCCTACTAGGGCTTATTTTCGGGGAAACAGGGTAATACAAATCGGTTCTGTTGCTGCATCTGTACCTATAAACCAAGCATATGCAATTCTGCATTTTCTATTTTATGATGATGAGCGAGTGGCCTCTGGATTCCAGACAAGCAAAGTGGAAATCTTTTTTCAGTGCAGGGTTTAACTTTGGAACTCACTGCGGGGAGGTGGGAAGGAGGAGGGCTGGGGGCGTATGATACCTGATTGAATTACTACGTTATTGGGCTATTTTTTTCAAAGGCATTTATCATGTTGGTGGAGGATCATAAAGCCAAGAATGGTTCCTATTAATCACAAAACAGCGGCAAGAGAAGGGGACTGGCTGGCTCCTTTTGGAGAAAAAGGCGCTTCCAAGGAGCTTCTCGCTTCTCCCTAGCAGTTTATTCAGAAGTAATTTAAAATTGTTACTTCATTTCATTCTCCTGACCTCACCACGCCCGCCCCCTCGCAAACGCGATCTAATTTAGTCTCCCGCTTTTGCGCAAAACTTCTCTCTCCTGGCGCAACGTGCGCAAAAAAAAGAACGCGGAACGCGAAGTGACTCCGCGTTCCAAGCGCTTCCAACAGTAAAACGTTTCGCAGCCGTTCTTCTCCCCCGTTCTTTGGCTTGCCTTCTTCGGCATCGCTTGCCACTGCCCTGGGGGGCTTCCTGAAAGGTTCAGAGGGGCTCAGCTTCAGCTCCTGCGCTGGAACGAAGCGTTCCGGGCGGAGAAAAAAAAAGGAACGGAGAGGGAGGGTAACATTTTAACAAACGGATCGACCGCCAGTCCAGCCGGGAGGCTAGGATTGGCTTGGCTCAGCTCGTTTGGCACAGTCGCCCAGGCTAAGCAAGCGAGTAGTCCTCATGAAGGATGGGGAGTCAGATGTCTCGGAAAAAGTGGAACTGCCTGAGACGGGAAACCAGCGAGACAACCAAGATTTGCGAAGTGGCCCTGGTACGTAGTAAAACTGGGGACAGGAAGGGATGGCTGAGGGCTCAATTAACTCCCCCCCCCCGTTTTGCTTAGAGACCTATATTTTTCTTTTAGGCGGGGGTGAACCTGAGGATCTAATTTCTAATCAATGAGGATTTTGCTAAAACAAGAGAGTCACTTCCAAGCTCCTCCCCTCCTTCACACACAGAGCACGCCAAAGTTGCCTCTGAGCACATGCAGAGGGCTGGCTCCTTGTCTTCCCTTCCCCCCCCTCCCCGCGGATATACTTTGCATGCCAAGGGTCCTGAGTTTTAGTCCCCGGCAGGCAAGGCTGGCAAAGGCCACTGTTTTCAAGGTCTGTGGAACTTCTGCCACTTGACATTGGTGATGCGAAATTAGATGGATCCAGCTGTTTGATTGGGTATAAGGCAGCCTCCTCATTACCTAAGCCCCAGCATGTATGTAATAATGCTTGATAAATGACATATATCTAGTTAAGTAATTATTAAGTGTTGTGTACTGGATTGAGGGATGGAGGCCTGGGTTCGAATGTCGGCTTCTTCATCCAGTCGCTAAAGCCCAGCGTAGATCCACCAAATCAATTGTTGAATGGCAAGATGAAATTTATGCAAACCCCACTGATTTAACAGTTCTGCTTTAGTCAGGATTAAAAAAATTGGATTCAAGGAGTTGAATCTCATCTTAAAAATACAGGAAGCTTCTAATGGG